AGCTTTCATTCGAAATGAAGGTCCCCCTAACAATGATACCACATACATAAATTTTGTGGAAACAAAAAGTGACGTTGTTGAGGATACTTTCATTTCGAGTGACAGTGCCTGAGGAAGAGTTTCGAAGGTCGGTCTCACCGAAAAATGACTCCAGATTCCGGTTGTACTGCAGCCATTTGGCCTCAATACGACGTTCAGGATGACTCAGTCCACGAGATGGCCGAGTTTCATCAATCATATGATGACGTTTCAAGGTAGCAATAGACTCACTCCTAAATGTTACATATACTCATTAATAAAAAACTATAATGTATAGAAGGATAGATATATAATGATTTGGTTAGTTCTCTTTCATATTAGTTATGGCAACTTTCATTAAGTGTGTGTGTGTGTGTATATGTGTGTTCGCGTGCCAATATCTGTACGCAATAACAGTAGTTAATCAGAGTAATTAGAAAAGGCAAACACTTTCACTCGAAATGAAAGTGAGCCAAACAATTATGAAACAAGACATTCCTCAAAACCTCTAGTCATCAAGTCTCAATAACTCAAGGCAAAAGATGACAAAAATTAGGTAGGTCGGTAAGTATGTTTGCTTGAGATGATGAAATGTAAACTTGTATGCGAAACCACCTTTTCGTGACAGAGTGTTGACTTGAGACTTTCACCAGAATACGTTCTAGCTTTGATGATGTCCATCGAATGATGGACGAAAGTTCAGATTGTCATCGTCTGAAACGAGTGAGGATGCCTCGTGGACTGCGTCAACTTGAACGTGGTATTAACGCCAAACGGCTGCAGTAAAACGGGAATCGGCCCTTGTCTTCTGGTCAGTTTCAACTTCGAATCTCTTCAAAATGCACTTTCATGCAAAATTAAAGTCTCCCCAAAAATGTTCCCTTCAAGTTGACTTGCCAGACCAGCAACAGATCGTGTATATGAGATGTATTCATTCCATTTCGTTGAGGGTGGTAGTTGCATTTTCTCACAAGCACATGAGTAAACATGACAAATTTCATTCAATTTCACAGAGCCTTGCTTTCCCAAAAGGTGTTCTCATCCAGGCAGAAGTGGAATCATGAAACTGCAGTGTATGATTCTGATATGTGAACCACTATGAAATGTCATGAACACTCATATCATTGTGGGAAATTCAACTATCAGTCCGCTTATCAAGCTATAGAAACAGGATGAATTCATCTCATAATTATGGACTTATAAACGAATACGAAGTAGCCACAGCAAATACCACTTTGCCGCATCGGCAATCCCACCACACAATATGATGTAAAAACATGTTAGGCGAACCAAGGGCATTCGCGGCAGTGTGGTGTGGTGGTGGCAGCCGGGATGGGAACACCGTTTCAGAAAGCAAGGCCATGTGAAATTGAATGGAAACGTCAGCTCTACTCATGTCATTGTGGGAAAATTCTACTACCGGTCCTTCATCACCTTAAACGAAATAGGGAGAATACATTTCCCCAATACTTGTTGCGAGTAGATGGTGCCATAGAGCCAAAGTCAGGCGTCAGAACTAAAGGCCAATGGGAGATTAAGGGCCTGACAACGGGGCAGAAACCGTATCGTTCGGATGGCGAGGCCTGTCCATTCTCAGAAAGAGTCAAGTCCCTTTTCACCTTCAGAAAGCGACATCCAAAATGCCAGTACTCCACCGACACAAAAGTAGAGAGCGAGCTTTTGGGATTTGAAACAGTTGTTTGTAGCGCACAGGCTTGCAAGCCGGATCCTATATTTTCTGACTCTATTCACATCAGATTTCCAGATGCTCAGATCATGAGATTATGAGATCCTCAACTACTCAAATCCCGAGCTGATCAGTTCAAAAGATCATCATAAACGAGGATATTTAATTGATCTAATCATCAAGTGCTTACACATTCACATTCTCACCTCTTCAGAGAAGAGGGCCTTCAGCTCACCAGATCATCAGATGGTAAGAGCATTAACTCATTAGATCTTCACAAAGTTTGATCTGTAGTGGATCGGATCCTTAACAGCCTAGATACTCATATTTGCACTGTTTGAGAAGACGACATTTTCAGCTGCCTTCCATAAGGTCAGCAGATCACCGATTTATTAGTTTACCAAAATCTCGGATCATTGATTGACCAGGTCATCATCGGCCTAAACAATTATGTCATCAACTCTTGAGATCATGAGCCTTCTAGCTTATTATCGCATCGGATCATCAGCTCACTATAGCACCAAAAAACTCTGTTAATTAGGCAATTAGTACATTGAAATCGTAAGATCGTAAAATTCCCAGCTCGCCCGCATCAGATCATTAGAGCAACAAGAAGTCCGCTTATTAGTTAATCAGATAATTATCTAATCATTTCCGAAATATCTCCATTTTAGATGATCGTACCATTATCAACTTGCGGCTCAATCCCTTAAACCTTCAGGCTGTTACAATGCCAGATTAACAGATCCTCAGATCATTCGGTAATAAGATAGTCCCAATGTCAGATCATGAAATCATGAGAGCCTACATTACATTTCCAACTCCTCAAAGCTCCAGATCTCAATATCCTCAGAGAGTCACGTTCACGGTTGTAGCTGTACTTGACGATGCAAGTCATTTCAGCACTTTGAAATGCATGCCACAGAAGCGATGGTCCGCAAGAGACCGTGGAAGCCGAGCAGACCTTCCAAGTAAATGCGAATAGATTCGAGCTGGCCAACCGAGAGTCGGGCTCGCGGAGAATTGGCGACATCTTCATTATTTTGCTTAGGCCATGCCGCTTTCGAGCAGAATTTTGCGTTCAAACAATACATACTCATCGCAAGTTGGTTGGTATCCTATTCGTGTTGTTGTGTGGATTTCTTCTCATTTCAATGTGGGAAAACCAACTATCAATCCCACATCAACTTACGCATCAGCAAATGAGGCATGGTATAATGCAAAGTCAGCACTCATGTGCCAATTTAATTAAATTGTGACTATATTCTTCGGGATAGTCCTTGTGGTCTTTTGGTATATTTATTCCATTATGCTTGCTCGGTTACATTCAGTTTTAATTAGTGCAATTGCGGAAAATCTCATCAACTATTGCCGTCTATTTTTCGCCATCGCAAATAAGTCCACTCGATGACCTTTGACGGTGCGAAAAAACCTTAAAATTCTCACGCGTCAGACATTTTCGACTTAAACCGGTGATAATTAATTTTCACCAGATTTCCCTCGGAGAAGTGGATTCACATTCTTTCCTACCTCCAGTTGGACGTAGTGAACGTTTGTTTGCCTCTAACCACGAATGGAATTGTCCCGAGTTGATGCAATCTGGACGCAGAATTTGGCATAAATGCCGCACACAGTTAGCTTCTGTCTCTACATCGGCTCGAGGGAAGACCAGAAAGTGATTTCACAGCGTGTACAACGTAAGTGACTAAGTTTGATTAGCTTCAAGCATTGATGCGAGAATACATTCATTTATTCTCTGAAGTTGACGTTTAAGCATTAAAGAAAATAATTTATTTTAGTGGATTAAAACCAATATTGACGAAGAAGCATTATTTTGTGTTGAGTTTCACGATTGCAGGCATCCCAAATGGCTGTCCTCATCCAGACTGGATCGCAGTTTCCAACACATCTTAACATCTCACTTCAGCACCCCAAGCGGGCTACAGCTTTGGATATGCCATTTCAGAGACAAACTTCTGATAAAAGCCACCTTAAAACTGTCAAATCGAAAAAAAACGAGATACTTTATGATAATGAAAGCGTATTTTGTACTAAAGAGCCTATTCACTATAAACTTAGTATGAAAACATTTTATTTTTCCCATTTAAGTATTATTTCGAGACTACCAGTAAATCAGTAGTATGAGATGTATTCCCCC